GAAGATATAGCTAGTGAAAGTGGTACAATTAATAGTTCCGAATCTAATAATGATCCCTCTTTAAGTACTCAACAACAATATGAACGAGAAAAACGAATAACTATAGATTATGCTCTTCTTCCTGAAAATTTAAAAGATATAGAAGAGGAAGATATTAAAAAAACTACTGATAAATTAACGAAAACAATTAATGATTTACAAGGTACTATTCAACGTATTCAAGCTCCCAATATGAAGGTAAGAAATAATATTATAAAATATTACCAGTTGAGAGAAACATTATTTCAAATAGTATATACATCCATAATAAAACTCCTATAAAATATCTTTGTTATATGCAAAAATATTTCAACTATTATTAATATGTTAAATATATTGCCACTTTGACTATGTATATTACATTTTAATGTTTACATTACTATTTAATTTGAAATTTAATATTGGTTATTTTATTTATAATATTATACGTTTTGATCTTCTTAAACATACAATAGTTCAGTAAAAAATTAATAACAGTATTATTACTGAATAAATAGAAAAGTATTTATAATAGTAACCAGTAGAAAATATTTTTGAATTTTCTTTTTATTTCATGTAAGTTATACATAACTGTTTACTTAGTATTTCTTTTATTATGTCTGAAAATAAAACTGCAAATGTATCTGAAAAAAAGAATAGGCGTCAAATCTAACAATATACATGCTGCATGTGATTATCAGTGTAATGTCAATCAAGAGGTGCTATTTGTACTATTGAAGTAATTGTATAATATTGTTCAGGCAATTCAAAAATTATATCTTGCCAAAGAAAAATTACAAGAGACTAATGAAGAATTTGAACAGTCTCGTAAAAAAGCAAAAAAGGCAAAAACACAATTTGAGAAAATCAAGAAAGAAAGACACGACAGATTCATGGCCTGTTTTGAACATGTCGCTAATGAAATTGATCCTATTTATAAGGTAAATATACATTTACAATCAAGATTTTGTATTCTTTTGTGTGAATTGTAGTAATACATACATATTTTTTAAATTTTAGAGCTTAGCAAAAAATCAATCAGCTCAAGCATTTCTTGGACCAGAAAATCCAGAAGAACCGTATTTAGATGGTATTAATTACAATTGTGTGGCACCAGGAAAACGATTCCAACCAATGTCTAATTTATCTGGTGGAGAAAAAACTGTTGCAGCATTAGCACTATTATTTGCAATTCATAGGTATGCATTATATAGTTCCTAATTTTTTATGTGATATTCGTAAAATAAATTTAAATGTATATGTTATTAATTTATTTTTTATATGGAGTATATAGTTGTATTATTTTAAATTATAATTTAATTTTATGACATTTGTAGTTTTCAACCTGCACCATTCTTTGTCTTGGACGAAATTGATGCGGCACTAGATAACACTAACATAGGAAAAGTTGCTAGTTACATACGTGATAAAACAACCTCCTTACAAACTATCGTCATATCTTTGAAAGAAGAATTTTATTCTCATGCGGATGCATTAATTGGTATTTGCCCTGATGTAAGTAAAACTAAAAGTCTATATGATAAGTCTAAATAAAAATACTATTTTTAATTACACAAAGTAATAGCAGCATCAAAATTATTATATCTTTTCTAAATTACAGGTTGGTGAATGTTTGGAAAGTAAAGTATTAACTCTTGACTTAACTGCATATCCTACGCACATAAATTCGTAGAATAAATTTCAATTTAATATTTATACATTTCAATTATGTTTTTCTATGTTATTGACTTTATTTTACATACGGTAGTTTTATGTTGTTTTACATATAAATCATCTTGAAATTTATCATATCTGAATGTAGTAAAATGTTTTACGAAATTTATATTTGAGAGCAAATTATCAAATAAGATAAATTTCATAGGATACATGGACCATTCGATTTTTTTATATTACTTTATTCTTTATCAATATTATTGTACTTTAATTGTCATCATGTAACATTTTTGAAAGTTTTATTAATAGTTAAACTTAATTTAAATTGAATAATTGATTGCCTTTAGCAATGTAAAAATTCTTGTTTAAGTAATAAATTATTCGTATAAATATATAGAAGTATATATTAAATTAAAATATTGTGTCAATTTTTAAGTTAAGTGCGTCAAATGTTAAATCGTACATTTTATATTGTAAGGCTGTAAACACATACGTTTATAGAGTAAAGAATTTTATTATAATATTATTCTGTTCATTAATGTTTAAACATCTATCCTTTATATAAATACGTGCAAACGTTAACGTAAATGGCACAGTAGTTAATTAATTTTGACATACAGCAGAAGTAATAAATTAGTAAGATTTCAGTAAATTTCCAGACTAATTTAATGCTAGTCTTTTACATTGATAATAAGTTAGTTATATACTCATAATTTGAAATTTCTATGGAGACTTATTTTAAAATAGGTTCTCATAATAAAAGCTAATTTGAATTGCTTTTATATAGCTTTTATATTGCTCATATAGCTGAATTTGCTTGAAGTTGGTAGCATTGCATCTTCAATAGAAGATGAAATTGTGGCGCTCAGTTAAACTTATAGTATGTTATGAAATAAATATTACGATGTACGTACAAATGGAACGTATTATAATTTTTAACTTCAAATCATTCCGAGGAAAAGTAGTTATTGGCCCTATTAAACCATTCACAGGAATTATTGGTGCCAATGGATCAGGTAAGTTACGCTGTTTAAATTTTTGTCATTTACTGTAACGTCTGCATAAAACGTCTCAAATTTCAAAAAACGAACGTTATGAAGTACTGCGTATATATGTAGTTAATAGTTAAATATAAAAATTTACATTCCA